CATATCTAATTCGCGCAAACCCTCTAGGAAGGTTGCTGAAACTCTAGTTGAAATTGATATTTATGACCTGAGACTCTCTTAGAGCTTTGGATAATAAGATGCTCTCTTAGAGCTTCAAATAATCAAATGCTCTCTTAGAGCTTCGGATAATAAAATGCTCTCTTAGAGCTTCGTACAATAAGATGCTCTCGTAGATCTTCGTATAATAAAATGTTATCTTAGAGCTTTGTACAATAAAATGCTCTCTTAGAGATTCGGATAATAAGATGCTCTCTTAGAGCTTCATATAATAAAATGCTATCTTGGAGTTTCGGATAATAAGATACTCTCTTAGAGCTTAAGATAATAAAATGTTCTCTTAGAGCTTCGGGCTCTTCCTTTAGGAATGAGGTCTTCAAGATAGTGCCTCTTCCTTTTTTAAGGGAAGAGGTCTTTAAGTGATCGTCTCTTCATTTTTCAAGGAAAGAGATCTTCAAGTGCCTTTTCCTTTACAAGGAAAGAGGACTTCAAGTGTTCGTCTCTTCCTTTTTCAAGGAAAGACATCTTCAAAATAGTGTATCTTCCCTTAGGAATGAGGTATTCATGTGCCTCATCCTTTTTCAAGGAAAGAGGTTTTCAAGATAATACCTCTTCCTTTAGGAATGAGATTTTCACGATATTTCCTCTTCCTTTTCAAGGAATGAGGTCTTTGCATGCTCAAATGCTGAAACATAGGCAAAGATGGGGTCCTTGCTTGCTGAAGTAGTGAAGGATGATGCACTTGATGAGGTCCTTGCTTGCTGAAGTGTTGAAGGATGATGCACTTGTTGATGAAGTGCTGAAAGATAAGGCATTTGTTGATGAAGTGTTGAAGGATGACGCACTTTGTCTCGGAGTGTTGAAGGATGAGGCGCTTTGTGCGGAAGTGCTGAAGGATGCGACGCTTTGTGCGGAGGTGCTGAAGGATGGGACACTTTGTCATGAAATGCTGAAGGATGAGACACTTATTGAAGAAGTGCTGAAGGATGAGGCACTTTGTCCCGAAGTGCTAAAAGATGAGGCACTTGGTGATGAAGTGCTGAATGATGAGACACTTTGTGCGGAAATGCTGAAGGATGAAGCACTTGTTGATGAAGTCTCTTTCTTTAGGAATGAGGTCTTCAAGATAGTTCCTCTTTCTTTAGGAATGAGGTCTTTGCATGCTGAAGCATAGGCAATGATAAGGCCCTTGCATTTAAAGTAGCTGAAATATTTATGTAGGGACGATGTCACATGGTTCGAGAATGAGGCCTCATAATTCATCACATGTGACTTCTTTGTAGGTATCCCTTTCGAGGGGTCTTCCTATTCAAAGCCACTTCAACGGCTTCTCCTTTTCAAGGGTCATCCGCTTTAAAGTCACTTCTTCATTGGACTTCCCCTTTCAGTAAGTTATCCGCTTCTTCAGTGGCCTCTCCTTTTCAGGGGGTCATCCTATTAAAAGCCACTTTTTCAATGGCCTCCCTCTTTCAGGGTTCGAGGTATCTAACGGTCCTTACTACAAGGACACTCATTTTTCAAGGGTTAAAACCTTTTTTTTTTTTTTGCCAAAGTATTCCAAGCTAGCTTTCTCCCACATGTACTTTTCGTGGTTAAATGTAAGAAATTTCTACAGATGTCGTCAATCTGTTGACCCCAAAAAATAAGCTCAACAGATGCCGGGCCCACTTTTACCACTTCAATTGTGGATCCGCCGCGTTTCTACTGGAATAAAGGTGGTAATCGGTTGGAAATGGACGCGGGATGCACTTTAAGCAAGAGACGAAAACGTTCAAACTCCGACAATAAGATTTAATGGCAACCGCACTATCAACGATCATCAAAACCAAGATAATCAAGAATATTTCACTCTCTTTTATAGTGAAATGTGTGGAATGATAGATATAATAAAATGGTGTTTTGTGTTGAAATCTTGATATATTTGCTGCTATTGTTTGTGAAATATGTAAATAACAATATGTATAAATCATCTTCAATCTCTCTACGTTTCATGAAAGTGAAGGTATATTTTTGTGCTTTATTGTATGATTACCAAGATCCCCATTTTTCTTTACAAAGAGAGCTTATTTATGTTGTCTTGGCCGAGGTGGTGACCATTGGATCAGAACGACATGGCCTCATCTTCTTTGTTAGGATGTCACATCATTGTCCATTCATGCAATTAATGTATTGATAAGAGGTCAGTCGCTCTATACAATAGGCTGACACACTGTCAAAACTTTATTACAGACGTCACATCAATCACTTCTTA